CTGTGTGGCCCCGAATAAACATTTGCAATTGTGAATATTGCCTGTGAGTTGGGTGTGGCCCCAGCAATGAATATTCAAATCCAACAGAAAAGAGGGGTTCTGGAAGAAATGTTTAGCGTTGGCAGAGGCTGAAAAAAAAAAGGGTAGAGACATGTTAGGCCTCTTCCTTGTGGCAAATGAAGTCAGGCTAGCATGGAGAGAGGTTATCTTTCTCTCCAGAGTGGCCAAAGGAGGTTCAATAGGGCCCCAAGCTTTTGTCTCACCCATTTTTCTCCAGATCTTAATTGAGGACATTAACATCAATATATTTTCAAGGACCAATCAACATCTGATCTCTTTCCTCTTTTGCACAATCATAAAGGTGCCACTCAAGGGGTTGCAGTAAGTAGAGAAAGCTTTTTAAATTACATTTCCTAGAAGATACAGAGAGCTTGTAAGGGACAAACATGGGCAATGGTATATGAGATAATGACAATACAAACGCCATGTAGTATATTTGAAAGACCTAGTTTTAGCGACAATTGCTAGTTTATCGCCAATGCTTACACCGTGGCAGCAACAACGGACTCAACGTGACCAGTAGTATGGACAGGATATACGCAGGGCTTCGTTCTGTTGCTAGGATTTGTAGCCACAAATTTTAGCAAATTTAGCAAGACCTTAGGAAATTATACCAAGAACAAAACCCCAGAATAGTATCTTACTTTTAAAAAGTGATACAGATGAAAATATCAGCAGTGACAATATTTACGCAACATGCCCAATGAATTTTTTGCAACAGATTCAAAATGAATAAGGACATTCCTGAATGCAACCTGGCACGTGTGCAGAATGCATTAGATTAAGTAAAAGCCTGTGGTCCTAGAAGTGCGTCTCGGAAGTGTACATGTCAAAAACTTTGAATGAATTAGTTGAACAAATAAGTTAAGATCCAAAGAGTGATCTTTTTTTTGGCAAACTTGCTACTACATATACTGAAATGGAGAGTGTCTTGCAGAAATTCTTCCGTGGATGCGGTATCGCTTCTCCACATTCGAGGCAGGTGGAAAAGTAAAGTAGTTTGAGAAGTAACATAACTAACTCGATGCCGCCGAGTCGATGCCCCTCGCGGAGATCCTCGAGGCGAGGGTAGAACAGCTCTGGTGGTTTCGGAGACTGCCACGCTCTTCTCGGCGGGCTAACCATCCCACAGACCAACTCTCGGTGTCAAACCGCCGACCTTCTTTCTGGTTAGCAGCCAAAGGCATAACTACATTGCCACCAGGGCTCCTCACTTTGACTCACAGATGACACAATGCGACCTCTGTCAGCATAAAACATCACTGTATCACCATAAGTATAATTTAATTGATTGATTATAAAGATAAAGGAAATAGATCTGGAGTCAGAAAGTGCGAATGATAGTGTTGACTGGCTACATTTCCTTGAAACAAATCACTGATGCTTTCTGAAGTCCTAGCCATTAAATTGGATATAATGCTAATAATATAAGATACAAGAATGCTGACCAACTGCAGAATATAATAAACAAATTAGTAATGATTTCTCAAGTTGTAAAGGTAACCCCCGACTCTGTGTTAGTTTTCAAAATGTAGTTATAGCAAAGACATATCGTGGACCACTTATAAAAACAAAAAAAAAAATTAAATGCCAATATCTAATAAGCATATGCTACACAATGGTAGTTTGGAATAATCTAAAAGAGACAAATGAAAATACATGGAAGTACACTTTGTCCATTGCTACTTAACCTTATAACTTATATTGAAATATTTTGGGATATTAATAAAATATTAGCTTAATTTAATTCCATGTAATTAAAGCTATATCACAGTTAATACAATTTATAACAGAATACAATAACACATATATCTGAACTTCAGCTTTGCTTGTAAGACATTACTCCTTTTTTTTAAGTTAAACTTTTCCAGTAGAAAATTTTTAAAAGATCATGAATACAATCAAGATTAACAATGGGCTTAAACTTTTGATTTTTATAATTTTTCCCCCACAAAATTCTATGTTTGAGTTGCAAATATGACTTATGCAAAGGACAGTATATTTTGATCTTCTCAATATGAGTGGCAGTATTCCATCTGCCTTTAAAACTAAAGCAACAAATCAATATCACGAAAATGAGTTAAACTAGTTATTCTATACGAAACTTGTAATTCCTGAGCTCACACAGGCTAGCTTGAATCAGTCCTGTACTTTTGAAGAAGTAAAAACCAATACTTTTACATTGAATAGCCTTTGGAATACCTGTTAATTATCTTGTGATTAAAAATGATTGAAAATCTTTGGGAAAGTATTTTCCCCTTAGTGGTTTTATGTATTTAGTTCTGCTTTCCTCAAATTACACAAACATTTAAGATATTATTTTTTAAACTTTAAGTTAATAAACAAGAATAAGGTAATATATTAAATGTAACATTTCAAATATGTCAAATTGAAATAGAATGAGTCCCAAAATTAACAGGCACAAAATTTTGTGAAAATCATGATGTGCATAAGTTTTTACTTTAACTTTTCCAAAGTGTGTCATATAATGAAGACAATATTGTGTCTTATTAAAGTTGCTAATTTTGGGAAGTTTCTTTTCAGTTTTCTCTTGCCTATTAGTTTTCATCTTATAGTTAGCTGTCACGATCTCCTATGTACTAAATAATTATATTTTAAGGCAAAATATACGTAGCACTTCTAAAAATATTAACTTATGAATCCATTTAGAGCCTCTTGTCTTATGAGTATACTTAAAAATAGACTTAAATCTTATTCACTTCACTGGAAGTACTCATCCAAAGGCAACTATAAAACATACCTTGTGATGACATTGATTCAAATAAAGTTGAATCATACATGAAAATATATATCCTTTCATTAGTATAATATCCTTGCACAGAAAGCACACAATTAAGTAGCTTAAAAACACCACTAAGAAAGTACTAGTTATGAATTTCCTGTAAATCTTGTTTCCTTATAAGAGAAATGTGAGACCTCTCTCTAAGCCTTTTTACTGCTTGCATGTTGCTTCTGACATGTGCCTGTATTTACATTTACTCATCTCTGCTTTTTATCTCCCATTTTAATCACAAGGCTCTACTCAAAAATCTAGTCTTTAAACCTCTTTTGTTAATCCAAGCAATGAACCGCTGATGGACTTCAAAACATGCAACCAAGAGGTCAGCATAAGTAACAGCACCAAATGTCAGAATTCCAACGTGGAATGAAAAATCACGATTAACAAAATGTTAGCAAGTTGAGGTTTGGTGAAAAACTAAATTTTTTATGAACTTCAATTTTTGTGCAGCTTTATCACACAATAATATTGTCAATAAGGAAATGAAATCTTGTCCAATAAATTTTTCTTACCCATTGTGAAATTTGGTTTAACAACAAGAACCAAAATGAAGGTTAACCAAAGTGAAGGTATTTCCCCCCAGATGCTTCACCTGCCATGTAGCTGAATTCTTTAAGTAGGGTTCGAACAATTTCCATTAGTCCTTTCACCTTGTCCCACAACTGTGGATAGCATTCCAGCAAGGACAAGTTCGGAGTAGTATTTCCACTTTTTTTAATTCAACAACACCAGCCCTCAAATCCAGAGCAACAATAAATCAACTAAATATCCCTGTTTCTTGAGACTTAAATGATGTGAGATGAGAGAGCCAATAGAGTCAAGAGGGGGGCAGGGGGAAGAACTAAAATATATCACACCAATGCCAGAATTCACTTAAAACTTCAGCTGAGAAATTTTCATTCTTAGGAAACACACTCCACTACACAAACTATGCACTCAATTGAAACTGGATTTAATATACCATATATATATATGAACTTCAATTAAGAATATTTATTTTTTAATTGAATTTGTCCTTCAACTTTCACCTCTACCTCTCAGGCAAAAGGGGCAAAAGGGGCTTAGGAACCCACATTGTTGTAGCGTGCATTTACATTAGTATATTAGCACTTTACTCTGGCTATACTCTGTGGTACTCAGCCTAATGAACGCCTCCTCCACTTCATTTTCCTTGTGGGAAGGTGAGCTCTTCTAGGGAGATTCCAATACATTAGAGTTAGTTCTGCAGGGAGATTTCTGTAGCTAAGAGGAGGTTTGGACGAAAAGTGGGAGCTATTTCCTTGCAAGATCTCAATATTCAGCATATCTTCTCCCACCAATCAGGAGTGCTCTTCCCCCCAGAATGTGGAAAGATAAAGCTTTGTGGTCCCTTGAGAACCTTCCAGCAACTGCAAGGGATCTGTTTCTCTAACATGTTACCCTGTGGCTGTTGAGTGTAGCCATGGATCCTCACACTGATCTCCAATCTCTGCAGGGAGAATCTCTAAAAGTTAAGTGCATCAGGACCTGTAATCCTGCTGTGCAGTTTAGTGCTGACAACTTGTCACTTGAGAAGTTAGTCCTGAGCTCCTCTGGAAGCGGTCTCAATACAAACTCTTCAGGAAGCCATTCCTCATCCTGCTACTCCTCTAACCGCAGCCACTGGGCCCCTGCCTCCATCAGAGAGCCACCTCCTTATCTGGTAACTCCCCAGACCGAAAGATGTTACAATGTCACTTGGGATTAAAGTTCCTTTCATTGCTTTCCTTCTTTCCTTCTTTTTAAAGTGATCCTGTTGACACAATTTGCTCCAAGGAATTAAACGTTGTGGTAACCCACGGGTATTTATTTAGGCGTGAGGTGGAGTCCGCTAAAGTCACGCATACCTGCTTCTCTAAAATTCTTGTTTGACAACAGAACACCAAAAACACCTAGTTCTCACTCCACACTCCACGCACAGCGAGAAATAAATGAATACATTGCAAAGCAAATTGGATCACCACACCTCCCAAACCTCACAGCCACCTCACCCAGGCACATCCTCTAAAAATGTCCAACGGGGCAGAGATGAAAGAGGGGGGAAAGAGACAGACAGACAGACAGACAGACACAGGGCTTGATTTCGGCCAGCCAGGAGCAAACAGAAAGCAGAAGCGATTACCAGAGTTTTGTTGCCGTTCTTGCTGAGAGGGCCCCGGAAAACTCCCTTGATGTTGCGAAAGTGTCCCTTGCTGAGATGCGTGGAGCTGATGACAATGTAGTAACACTCCATGGGGCAGCCGCCGCCGCCTCCACCGCAGCCGCAGCGCGCCAGAGCCCGGGC